CACCATATTTGATAATATACATATTTGTGAACAAGAAGTAATAGATATTCTATCTATACTCCCTGTAAATAAGGCCACTGGAGCAGATTCTATCAGTCATAAAATGTTAAAAACTACCAAATTTTCTATTGCGAAACCGTTATACTTACTATTTAATCGTTCATTGAAAGAAATATTTTTCCTAACAATTGGAAAATAGCTAATGTTATTCCGCTTTTTAAAAAAGATGATCTACAGTCTTGCCTAACTATAGACCGGTTTCATTACTTAGTTGTGTTAGTGAAGTCATGGAACGTATTGTATTTAAGCATTTATACTACTATTTTCATTGTAATAATTTTTTTTATCAACCCAAGCTGGTTTCCTACCTGGTCATTCAACGGTGTATCAATTAATAGAAACGTATGACGACATTGTTAGACAAATTGATGAAGGGAAATCTTGTTGTATGATATTTTGTGATTTGTCTAAAGCCTTTGATCGTGTCTGGCATAAAGGGCTCTTATTTAAACTAAAGATGTATGGTATTAATGAAAATGTGTATCTCTGGTTAAAAAGTTATTTAGAAAACAGAATGCAAAGAGTGATGTATAGAAATTTGTTATCTTCGCTGGCACCTTTGCAGGCCGGGGTACCTCAAGGTGCTAGGTCCATTGTTATTTTTGATTTATGTAAATGAAGTAGCTGACAAAATGTCAAGTTTTTGTAGATTATTTGCTGATGACAACAGTTTACAGTATGCTTCAAAATGTGTAAAATCTATTGAAAGTAATTTAAATAATGATCTTAAATCTTTAGAAGAGTGGTCAAAAAAGTGGTTACTTAAATTTAACCCCTCCAAGACTAAAGTAGTATTTTTTAACACAAAAAAGAATTTAGAACTCCCTAAGCTTCTTCTTCAAGATAACCAATTAGAATATGTTCAAACCCACAAGCATTTAGGAATAACGTTTTCATATAACTTAAGTTGGTCATCCCATATTCAATTGAAATCTTACTATTAAATGCATACAAGAAATTGGGTCTTTTGAAAAAACTAAAATTTAAAATAAATCGGAAAACTCTTTCACTCATGTATACATCATTTATCCGCCCTCAACTTGAATATGCGTCAGTAGTATGGGGTGGTTGTTCAACTACAGATTCTGAAAAATTGGAGAAATTACAACTACAAGCAGCCCGTATTGTTACTGGTCTAACTCTATTAGCTTCTAGAGAGTCTTTGTATTTCAAAACTGGCTGGGAGCCGCTAAGTGATAGACGCAAGCTACACAGATTAAATACTATGTATAAGATTTATAATAATTTAGTTCCTGATTATCTCTGTGATATTATACCTGATATGCGATATAACGCTTCCACTTATACAACAAGAAACTCTCAAAATTATAACATACCCATGTGTAGACTGCAAACTTATAAATCATCATTTGTTCCAACTGTAATTAATAAATGGAACTCATTATCTAGAAACTAGAAACTCGAGCATACTTTCTGCCTTTAAAAGAACGATTTTACAAAAAATAGCAGTAGCTCCTCCTTATTTCAGTTTTGGAAAAAGACGTAATAATATACTGCACACCAGGCTTCGGCGCCACCAACATATAAAAATCTCAGCTCAAATCTCAACCTCAAATCTTAGATAACTGCCTCAGCTGAGATTTTTCTAAAACGCCGTGCCACCAACATTTCTGAGATTCATCTCACGTAAGCTGAGATATGAGAAAAATCTTAGACTTATTCTCGTTGTTACATTCGACCTTTTTTCTTATAACGCACGAAATTGTTGAATCAATGAGAGGATTCACCTTTCCGTTAGTTGTTTATGCCATATTTTGGTGTAATTAATCACGAAAATACACATTCTCCACTTCCTTCGTCTTTTATTTGCTGTTTCGAGCCATTCACGCAAAGGATTCCATTACGATCTTTGCGACAATAAATATTCACCGAGTCCCCATAAAAATATCCCTACAAAAGAATAACACAAAAAATATCCGAACTTTATAGTCTTGGTTCGTCTGTCAACATAAACACACAAAAATATACACCGAGGCGTCACTTCCGCCATTGTGACGTTACGTGTCGAAAGATTACAGAAAGTAGATGGGTGGATCACACATTTTTCTTTCTTCAATTTTATTTTGTAAAATGTCAGATAATCTATTTATTACATTTTATTCTCCATAGCAAAAATATCTTAGGTAAAGGGACTTTTTGTCCCTATTTAGAATTTTTTTTTTAAATCATTTTTTCATCAAAGGAAATAAATTTTACAGCCGAAATAATAATTTCAATACTGCCAATTCGGCGTTAAGAAATAAACAGATTTTTTTTCTAGCCAATCAAATGCTCGATATATAGCTAATTTTCTTGCATCATAATTTTTGGGAGTGTTTCGTAAAATTTGTGCATAAGTTGCGACAGAAAACATGTCGTGGGGCAGGTAGCATACAAGTATGCTTGGTTTTACATGATCCCAATTTATCAAGAAAATTTTGATACGAATGTTTAATTATCAGATAATTTCAAGTCCACCCCCTTTCCCCGAAGAAAGAAAAACCTGAACTATATGGACATGTTTATGAACGAGGTTAAATAAAATATCGCATACATAAAAAATTCCAAGATCCATGTAAGAAAATGTCAGAGAAAAATATTCATCTTTTTAGATATATTACACTGGAAACCTAAATCAATCTCACATACGCTTATCAAGTGACGATTAACTGATTAATTCCTGTTGTCATATTGTAAATAAAAGTTTCATGGCGTGTTCAGGTAATATTTGAAACAAAGGACCATGCTTTTTTTTAAATTTCAAAATGTAAATGGTCTTTTTTTTTTGGTTTTGTTTTTTGTTTTTTTTTTTTCAAAAGAAAAAAAAAGATTATACTTGTAGTGATTAATACATGTACTTTCGAATGGTCATAAGTCAGGCTTATTCTTATAAATAATATGAACGGTCAAGGATTTTTGTGTGCAATGTATTGTGAGTATAAAGTAGATCCCAATTAATTCTCAATAAAGAATTTTATAGATTTAAATAAGAACCAAATTAGAAAGACTCTTATCATCAATGATTTAGAAATGGTGATTTATAAATTATTTCAAAAGCATAGAAATATTTGTACATGAAATTCTTTTAATATTTTCGTATAATTTACAAATAGATAATGTTTACAAATTAAAAAAAATATTAAATCTACCAGAGAAAGAACAAAGAAGGGGTCAGGGAGGTTTAATATTTTATCCAGTCATATGTCCTCTTCTGATATACATGAAAATTGTGATTTAGTATTTACCATGCCGCAAATAGCAAATAGACGAATTTAATTAATTGAATACATTTATTCCTGTATGAATGGAGATATTATACATGTTATGACGTATATTGTGCAACTAGAATATTTCTATTAATCTTTCTTTTTCGTTTTTTTCTTATTTTCTTTCTTTTTTTCTTGTAAGGTTTCCAGTGCATTGTTTCAATGCATGAACAATATCATAAGATTTTTTACATGTGTGTAAGACCCCCCTCCTCCCAAAACCCCACCTTTCGTAAACATGGCATATCACAGGATGATCTAGTTTTGGAAGAAATTGACATGCTTTTCGTGCTTGCACATTAGTTTCGTGTATTCATGGATAAAAGTGTGCACTGTCATAACATTTGCGACCATTATTCCATAAAACAATTCTGTGATATTTTGTCTGAGACTACTATGTACCAATCTCAAGATTTTCTGAGAAATCTCAGATTTTTTTCTCAGCTGAGTCGGGAAAAACTTTGGTGGCACGCACGTTTGAGAAAAATCTCAGATTTGAGAATAAACTCAAAAAGATAAGTCTGAGTTTGAGAAAATATTTATTTTGTGGCACTGTTTGGTGAGAAAAACTCAGATTTTCTGAGAAATCTCAGATTCGAGAAAATCTCAGCGTTGGTGGCCCCGAAGCCTGACTACAGCATAACTGTGCATTAAATATTGATCTTTATAGGTGTAACATTACATCATTACATCAAGTCCATAATGTTCTTGTGGAAAAGTAGAAGACAAACATCATTATTTTTTCTCTTGTTCTAATTATACTAAGGCCAGGAAAGATTTTTTTGACAAGTTTTTGAGATTTGATAAGGTTCATATTGTTGACACCCACATTTTACTGTGGGGGGATAGTACTTCACTAAGTATTGCTGAAAATGAATATCTTTTTTCCATTGTGCATTCATATATTCAGCACACTGGCAGATTTAAATGATATATTGTAATTGTTTATGTATTGCATTTGTATATCACAAACTTTCTTGCAGTTTACAAATTCATGTTGTGAGTTTATCAAATTTATTTCTAAAACTGTGTAACACATTTAACTTAAACTTTATAAACTTCTCATGTAGGGAGAGGGCGAAATAAGTTTTAAGAACTTGTGCCAAATCCCACTGTATATATATTGCAATAAAATATGTTAAATTCAATTCAACTTTTCACTCCGCGACTCTATGTCAGCAAAAACTCTAACCACAGCGCAACTCAACAGCTGACTCAAGCCCCTGAGGTTGGTATACACCCAGACTGCATTTTTTTTTCTTTTTAGTGTCATATACATTGAGGAAAAAATTAATATGGCAGTTAATAATTGTTTGAAGAGATATGAAGACTAGATACGCTAGTATAATATATCAAAAGGCTTTGTGGTTTACCTATAATAATGATTTTCAAAATCCAGTTTCGCTTTGTGCTTTTCGATCAAGGGAAATAACTCGTTGCTTCAAAAGTAACTCGTACATTTTCACATTCTAGATTAAGCGATTTTTATCCTGAGCGAGACAATATCTCTAATGGTGGAAAAAAAACCCTTCTGATTAATAACTATCTCCGATTTTTTTTTGTTGACATTATCAAAAATAATAAATTATTATCCAGCTACAAAGAGATAATTTTTATACGAATAACTCAACGTCACGCTTAGCTAAGATTAGTGTCGGCTTAAAAATCTCGAATTTACTCAACTTTCTTTACCGGACAGATGATCTGATAATATTTAGTATTTACCCTGGAACACAATTTGTTTACTCAGTTTATAGGTATATTCTCTAAGAAAAGATAAAAATATAATGTTATAAAAATTGCTTATGCTACATTTTTAATATAATTGTAAACACACATGTAAAATAAACAGACGTTTTCTTTGAAATCACAGGTGCTTGGGGAGAACGTTTTAGTATCAGAGCGTGTTGATTTTTATAAAAGGCTAGTTTAGGTTATATTTTGAATTTTTCAGTTGTAATACATGGTGAATGTGTCATAAAAATTATTTCATTTTAAAAACAATAAGCAAGAGTCAAACTGTCAAAGAACCCCTGGAGTACGGGGGGGGGGGGGGGGATCCCCAAGCACCTGTGTTTGAAATTAATGAACGATATGATTTTGTGACATGATAAATTCGTTTTCAATGCTTGCAATGTTTAAATGTATCATTTAATTGTTGTAAATTCGACTTTATTTAAGCACAGACATTTATTTTAATTAAAAGTATACTAGTTAATGTAAATGAACAGGACTTTATTCCATCCGAAAAGTTGACAGTTAAACACCTATTATTGAAAATAATCACTTTAAATGTACATTATACCTGTAAGATTAATATAATTTTGAAATTATAAAATGCATCGATGCATTGTTTGTGAAAGGTTAATCACAACCAACAAGATATAGAAATGTATCAATTTCTACTGATTACTACCCGATGATGTATCTTAACAATGGATACATGTATCTTACCACATAGATAAATGTAGAATGTTTTATCGTTAAAATGATATTAAATGTCCTACGGACCTGGGTGCGGGTCTGTCCTTATAAAAGTCAGGCTGTTCCTGATTATTAGGTATATTGTAGTTTCATAATACTCCTTAATATACATGTACAACACTGATATATTGCCAGTTATTAAATCAAAAAATGATATATAAGGTAGAACACATTTTTTTTTGGTTGAAATGGAATTTTTTCTCTACAATCATTACATTTTCTTTAAACATATATGAAAGAACCCCCCCCCCCATATTGCTAAATTACAATACACTGTATTTTTCCTCCCACAAATTTTGAAAATATTTCTTTTCTATAAGTAAACGGTGATTTTTAAATCCTGAGTTATCTCTCTTACTCTAAGTGCCATTACATCAATAAACCGTTTATTGAAGCTAATAGAATGTTTCCCTATTAGTAAACATGTAAAATACAAATTTACATAAATGCCGTTTACCAAAAGTTAACTATACACATACCTATAGTACACTTGACTTGTATTATTGTACTTTTTTGTCATAGGCGTCGGAAGCAAATTGAAAGTTGGGGGCTAATTGAAAGAGAAAAAAAATTCAAACCTGAAAAAAATATTTGACAACCAAAAAAAAAAAAAAAAAAAAAAAAAAAAAAAAGAAAAGGAAAATTGAAAATTGTCCAAACCCCCAAATCCTATTTCAGAGTGGGGGGATCGAACTTTTTTCAGTACCAATTCTTTGTTAAAAAAAAAAAAAAAAAAAAAAAAAAAAAAGCCCCCCCCCCCCGTTCCGACACCTATGTTTGTCAAGGGTTATAAAACCAAAAGAATTTTGCATCAATAGCTGTTGCATATAATTGCCAAAAAAATGTTTGATTTGAATGTACAGCAACAATTGCCTTTTTAAAACTTTCAACTAACCCCCCCCCCCCCCCAAAAAAAAAAAAAAAAAAAAAAAACAGAAACAAAAACAAAACAACAACAACAACAAAAAAACAAACAAAACAAAACAAACAAAACAAACAAACAAACAAAACAAAAACAAAAATAAACTTTACATAATCTTTTGTTCAAGACAACTTCTTTGAGATTCTTTTTTGTGTTATAATTTTAGGTTTACGGAAGAAGCACCATGTTGGAGGAATTCTTTACTAATTTCCAGTTGCTGCGCGATTTTTTTCACCGAGTCAATGAGTAATAAACCGGTTTTAAAATGTACAGTGCCATCTAGATGCTGAATTGTATAACCTTACGTAATATTAAAAACATATCCCTCTGTCTAATAATGGCTGCCTTGGTCGCAAATTTGATAGGGCTTCTGTCTAGAATTTGGTCCTCGCGCTCAATAGGCGACCACTCCTACAGGGCAAGCAAATACAAGCTTCCATACCCCCAAGTCCCGCATTTAGTCTTGGAAAATGACGTCATTAAAGGAAGAAAGATCTTAATAATAGGTGACGTACATGGTTGTCTTCAAGAGTTGAAGGAATTGTTGGAGGAAGCTAAATCTCGGTGCGCGGATCAAGAGGTACTTCCTGTGTTTGTAGGAGATCTTTTGTCTAAAGGACCATATCCGGTGGAAACCGTCAGGCACCTTCAAACTATGGATCATTTTGCGGTACGTGGAAACCATGATGAAGCGGTGCTCAAACAAGCTTTACTCTACAAAAGTACAAAAAATTACGAACTTCCAAAGAAGTATGAATGGGTGCCGAAGCTCTCTGACAAAGACATTACATACCTTCAGGAACTTCCGTATACGATATCCATCCCGAGTTTAAATGTGATAATTGTTCATGCTGGCTTACTACCAGAGATTGATCTGGTTGATCAGAATTTGACTAATATGATTATAATGCGAAATATTGTAAAATCTCCCGATGGATCTCTGACTGCTGCAGAATTAAAAAACGAAGGAGAGGCTTGGGCTTAGGTATGGCCTGGTCCAGATCATGTTTATTTCGGCCACGACGCTGTTAGGCGTTTACAGGAGCATGGGCATGCAACGGGTCTGGATACTGGCTGTGTGTATGGGAATGAACTTACTGGTGTTCTGATTTCTAAGGACAAAAGAGAATTTATTCACATCAAAGCAAAAGAAGTTTACAAAGAACCTGACATACATTTATGATACACTTCAAAAAAATTGAAATATGATATTATAATACAAGAAATGTTACCTATTATATATTAAACTTTCTACAGCATCATCCTTAAATTGTATTCAAGAGAAATATTTTAGTGCGCCTTTTTATCAAATTGTTTCCATGGTATAGAATTGGCAAATACTAATGTTCTGAATTATTCTGAACACATTGTGCATACATTCATTATGTGTGAAAGACGAATCAAAGCAATCATAGTTATTCTAATGAACGGTTACAAGTACATCACACGATATTTTTTTTTTTGCTTTGATCATCTGTACGTATTTGCAGTACTTAATACCTTATTTTTACTTTATTTTCTAACAAGAAAGACATGTACGTATTTGTTTTGTTTGTTCATTTGTCAATCCGTTATTTTAAAAAAAAACTCTCAAGTATACAAACGTTTCTTAACTGTATAAATGCAAGAGAAGAGACAAAATTCGTTTCGGGCGAATTCTGACTCTACTATTATTTATACCTCTTACAAATTTCTAAATTCCTTATAAAAATTTATCATTTCTCAAAAATTTCATTAATGACTTCTGCTAGTGATTTGAATTTAAAACCAAATTACTTTCCTCAGAAACCTTCTAAATGTTTGGCCGGACCACAACGGAACTCTTCAATGGATATAATTCAAATTTATATGTAGGTATCCAGTTCCGAGACTCAAGGTCAGATCTAAAAGGTTAAGGTCGCTACATGTCTATCGAAAGGACACCCGTTTTTAGGTCACCTGTGTCACTCAGGTGACCTATTGCTCTCCGTTTAATTTTGTCTGTCGGTCGTAAACTTTTGAACATTTTTAGCTTCTTCTCATAAACTGCTGAACCAATTTCAATCAATTCTGGCATATAGCATCTATGGATGAAGGGGGACAAAAATTGTGAATTTCATGGTCCCTGCCCCCCTGTGGCCTGAGGGGTGGGGCTAAAACCACCGGAATTAAATGCAATCTTTAAAAATCTTCTTTACTCCTGGACATCAAGCAGTCAAACTGTTGGCATGGTTATAATAAGCATTGGGTCCTCTACCAAAATTGTGAAATTCACGGCCCCAGGGTCAGGGGTTCTGGTGCTAGGGCGGGGCTATATAGATCGTATATACTCCTGGGTATTATTGAAACAAATGCATAGTTATGATATGAAAGGGTGCCTCTTCCAAAATTGTGAAATTCATGGCCCCAGGATCAGGGGTTCGGGTGCAAGGGCGGGGCTATATTGATCCTATAGTGAAGGTGAATTAGTTCTTTGAAAATCTTCTTCTCTGCCCCTGGGTATTATTAAAACTAAGTACATTGTTATGATGTCTCTTCCAAAATTGTGAATTTCATGGCCCTAGGGTCAAGGGGCCTGGTGAAAGGGGGGGGGGGCTCTATTGATTATATGGTGAAAAAGCATAAATTCTTTGAAAATATTCTTTTCTTCTGGTTAAAAGCAAAGAATCTAAGTGTATAGACATGATGAATCTGTAGTAAAAATGCATTATTTCTTTAAAAATCTTCTCTGTACCTGGGCATATCGGATGAAAAAAGAGTAAAAGTTTTAATTAGGAAGGGTATTTTTACCAGATTTCTGAACATCTGGACCATTTGGTCAAGTGTTCTGGTCCTGGCCAGGGCTCTATTTATTTGTATTCTACTGAGAGGAGTTATTTTCCTTTGCCATTTACGTTTGATAATTAATCACTGTAAATAATGTACTTGAAAGGTTAAAAGAATAAGATAATTATCCAATTTTTATTGTGTAATACAGAAAGTACTTTCATAGTTTTAATGATCATATAGACTTGTAAGTAATAGATAAATAAAAATGAGACAAACATAACTTATTGTCTTATTAAATGTTCATCAAAGACAAAGAGAGTCCAATGTAAGTGATTTCAACATGAAATTAAAATAGTACAGAAGCAATGATAGTTTGTTAATAGACTGAATGGTGATTGTGATAAGTGGGGAACAGATTAGAACTAATTTATGAACTGTAATAAATTAATACTAAACTGATTATTTCATTGATCCTGATCACCCCATTTCTCTTGCTTTTGGGCAACAAAGCTTCATCTATCAGTTTATTTTATGTTCTTTGGATACTCTAAATTGTTGCATTATACTCAGGTGACCGTTAAGGCCCTTGGGCTTTTTTTGGTTTGTTTTTGTTTTAAATAGTTTATATATCAGCTTTGTAACCTATGAAAAAATTTATTCGATTATAATATTCACAGAAATGGAATGTTGTTGAGTTCACCAACTTCTAGATTTAATTTTCGTTCAGCTCGTTTTGAAACTGATATACATGTACATGTATTATGTAAAATGGCGTTTTTTAAATTCTATCTACATGTTCATCATGCAGTCCATTCATCCTTGTACATGCATGTGAGGATACATGTATTTCTTGTTATATATGGGGATTATCTTCTATATATAACACTCTTTTGGGAAGGGAAAGAGGGTTTCGTCGCGAATTTATTTTGACTGTGAAAGTAACATGTTTGTTATATTGACTATGTAAATGAATCGTCAGTGAAAATATAAATTTTAATCAATTGATAAAATATTTAACTGTTTTTTAAAATGCAATGAATGTGTATAGCTTGTAATAAAATCCTTATTCTATAGATATCAACGTTTCACAAACGTATAAAGAACTCAACACACCAATTAAGCTGATATAAATTTTTAATTTTATTAAATGTGAATATGTAAAATTAAAAAAAGGCAAAGGTCATTACATGCATAAATTTTATTATTTTGTTTGATTTTTGGCATATTATTTCATCTACAATCGACAGTATTACAAAAAAGTCAAGAAGTACTTTTATATGTACATTGGTGTTGCATTCTTTTTCAAAATGTTTCTGACGAGACTGTAGCTCTACTTGTTTTTGATATTTAAAAAGGTAGAGAAAATGACAATACACTGGAACTTAAAACAATGATATCATGCAGCAATAAATAAAATAATGATAATTGGTTTATAGTCTCTTTTTGTGTGAAGTTTGATTGCAATCCAACAAAAACTATAGTAAGAGTAGCCTTTTGAAAGAATTTCACAAAAATGTCTATTTTTAATAACCATGGCAACGCCATTTATCAGAAACCGATGTTCAGAATATTCCATATGTATCTTAGTGTAATCTTCTTACATGTACAATTACATGTAGAATTTCTTTTTAGTTTTTATTAAAATTTGACCAAAACTGTAGGAGGAGTAGCCTTTGAAAGAATTTCACAGTAATTTCTATTTTTGATAACACTGACTATGGTGTTCATTAAAAAAAACGATATTCAGAATTATATATCTTAGTGAAGTCTGCTTGAGTACCCAAGTATATTGAAATCGGACTAAAACTAAAGAAGGGTGAGCGTTTTGAAAGAATGTCAAAGAAACTTCTATTTTTAGTAGCCGTCGCAACTCCATTCATCAAAAGTCAAAACCTGCACACCTACACAGTGTTATGTATCTGAATGTAGTCTACTTTTGTATTATTGACAGTTATAATACATTTACCTGTACTTTTCTGATGGACTGAAAGTGAGCTCTTTAAAAATTTTTTTGATACAAATGTGGTAAATAAATAGCTCAACTATTGTTGAAACGGTTAGAGATAAAAGTTTTAAAATATTATTTATGATTTACATGTAAAAGATTAAAAAAGGCTTTGGTTAGAATGAAGGCAAAATTGAATGACATGCAATTTTTTAATTATAATTACTTGTTTGTGTACCCTGAGATCTAAATTTAAAATCCAATACGTTTCTGCACATATACTAGAAATATCCATTTATATGCAAAAAGTATATTACGGTTACCTCTGTGACTGTATGAGGGAGTTATGGTAGGAAAGTGTGATGCAGGGAGAGACTAACAGTCAGACGGACCAGGATAACAATCTAACCGAGATTTATTAAAATGCTCTGGACAAATATCAGATCATTATTTTTTTTTCTAAGCAACAATTGAAAAAAAAGTAACATTCTTTAACTTTGTTGAAGGACAGATGATACAAACAGAATAATAGACACCCAGACTGATATTTATTTTTGGACGTATATTGATTGTAAATGATGCAAATATCATATTTATAAATTATTAAGAAATAATAAACCTTCTATCATGTTCAAAATTCTACTTTTGTGATGCACCTTTATAGATCTACATATATTTAATTACTTTATGGGACATCATTTTGAAACATTGAATGAAAAATTAAAATCTCTGCGGCAAAACGTATTTAATTTACTCATTACGACATTGTTTTAGTGGTAATTTTTAAGATTTTTGAAGAAAGTTTGTGTATATCACCTGTTCTTAAGACGAGGGATTTAAGAAGACTTTTAATATTATTGTTCTATACATGTAGATACGCATGTGTATGGCATGCAATATCTCTATAGAAAGGCAAAAAAGACTAATATAATGAATATGATTTAAAAATGAATAAAGAGGCCATTAATTGAAGAAGACAAACTAAGAAAAGCTTTTGTGGCAGTCCAGTCTATTTCATAATTTAATATAAATCAAGCATATCAGATGAAATAAAATTTGAAAATAAGAACAGGGAAGGATACACAATGCAAAATATGACGGACTTAAGAATTTTAAAAAATCTAAAATGATGAACAAAACATCAGACATAATAGAATATATATATATATATATATATATATCAAACTAAATTTCTAATCATGAGTCAATCATTTCACTGTGTAATATAGGTAAAACTATAAGAGTTGTTTGTTGTTCTCATGTTCAAATGGAATTCGTTGCCACAGGCTACCTACAAAAATATACCATAAAATCATCTGTTACGTTTTTTGACGTTCATCTTTTCATTTGAACTTAAAATGCCTATAATGTTATAACGTAATTTCCTTTAGAGTAGAACGACAACATGAACTAATGACATTTAGAGTAGAACGACAAGGATGACCTAATGAAACTAAAATGTATAGACCGTGATATACGAGGGGTGATCAAAAAGTTCGCGAACTAATTGAATTACTTCTTTGAAAGAAATAAAATGAAGTTTCAGTGTTTATTATTTTTTAAAGTAGTCCTCTCCGATTTTAATGCACATCTGCCATTCTTCTGCCCATGCGCGAATCACGTGATCCAGGCAGTCACGTGACATGCTCCGAAGCAGTCTGTTCAGAGAAGCTAAAAGATTATCCGAGTCTTATATTTCTTACCATGCAATTTTTTTTTAATAACAAAAACAGTCCATCTGTCAGAAATGGCCAAATCTCGGCAATAGGATGGGTGGATAAGGATATCCCTTCCCACAATTAATATGGTGACCCATCACAACCCGAGTCCTCTTTCTCGGGAGAGTCATTTATCAAATGTGGATAAAGTATGGGCGCCTTCTTTTTATCATATCTCATATGTTTAAAGTCTAAAGTAAACGATATTTTAGAGATTTAATAATTATATTATTGTTAAGATATACAACCATTTTTCTAATTGTTACTTGACGATGTTTCATAACAAATTGCTCAACTAAGGACACATCTTTTCCCCGGATTGATTTCGCTGGGCAACAGAACAAACATCATTTTAACCGTCTCCCTGTCTTTACTTAAACAATCAATCCAATTAATGATTGAACTTCTGGTAAGTCTTTTGTCTTCATAAACCTTGTACAAATTATCGTACTCTACTGCAAAGGAATTTCTAAGATATACGTTAAACTTTACAGCCGTTCGTTGCCCGGGTACAACTGAGTCAACCATTTTTTGTCACAAGTGACCTACATATTGACGTCATTTTCACATTGTGATGTCACAAACACGGAGCAAAACATTATTTAACATATGTTATTTATAGAAGATGTGTATGACTATGTGTGTGCCAAATTTCATTCTGATCTAAATTGTGGTTTTGTAAATATAGAGATAGTTCGCGAACTTTTTGATCACATTATTTCACATTCATAAATCAACGAACCTCATTTTCCTTCTTTGGATTTAAGAAGGCCAATCATCAACCAAAACCTTCATTGCGTCTTCCTATGAAGTTAAAAAAAACTTTAAAGGTAGGACTTTTAGATCAAGCATATAGTCTGACAGTCTTGACATTTACAAAGTACTAATGCTTACCTGCCAAAGTCAGACAACAGTAGGTAGTTTAACAGAACTTCATATTGTATAACAGAAATCTAGACTTTTTAATTCTACAAAGATATGCTTTTACTTGTCTCAATTTTTCAGACTTTGAATGACAAAATATTTGAGTGATGTTACATACTATCCTCTTGTGTATGACATTTTCATCCATTGAGACAAATTATAAAAAAAAAAAAAGAAAACAAATCATAATTTTTATAAAAATTAAATAATTCCGAATCGATTGATTGATTGTATGTTGTTTAACGTCCCGATCGAGAATATTTCACTCATACAGAGACGTCACCATATACCGGTGAAGGGCTTCAAATTTAGACCTTTAATCGTTACTCAGGGCCATTGAGCAGTGAGGGTTCTTTATCGTGCCAACGCCTACCCTGACACGCGGCCTCAGTTTTTAAGGTCTCATCAGAAGGACCCGCAGCTTTCACTTCAAAGAGCCGAGCTTAGAATCGTCTTGACCTGGGTTTGAACCCAGGACCCTACGATCACGGATTACGGAGCGAGCGCTCTACGGACTGCGCTACCATGATGGTCAATTTCTAATCACAGTAATACACATAAACTTACCTTTGCCTTTATTGCATCCTCTAGTTTTTTCATTCTCAACTGTAGTACCTGAAGCTGAAAAAAATATATAACACACTATAAATGAGGCAAAGAGAGTATGGAAGTAACAAATGAATGAAATGCACAAGAAATGTAGTTCTATTTTAATTAAAGTTAAGCTTTAGGGAAAACGCGTTCCTAATGAAAGCTTAAGCCTTGCATTATACGAATGTGATGGTATATATTGTCGTTTTGTACATATTGTCGTCGGCGACAATACGTACTTACCCTCACTGCACAAGTTGTCGACCATCGGTACATATTATCGCCAGCTGAAAATTACACATGTACATATTGTCGCTGGCGACATTATGTGCCTACCCTCACTGCACATATTGTCTCCCCACAGATATTGTTGCTTAAAGATTATTTGTTTTTGTTTTTTGTAGTTTTGTGAATGTTATTGGTGTGTACATCACATTGACGTGTCTCGTATGCTTTTTCATGCAACGCGATTTTAACGGTACATATTGTCGTCCTGATCAAATTATGTACCTACCCTCACTGCACATATTGTCGTCCATCGGTACATGTCGCATGACAATACATAACAATGCTTCCACATAAATATGACTAATCATTGCTTTGCTGTTCTTGTAAAGAAGATTTTTAACGAATTTTCCTATACATTCCTTTGTAAGACTTAAGTTTGATCCCCCTTTTTGGCCCAACCCTAGCCCAGGAGCATGATTTAAAGAACTTGAATCTACACTACTTGAGTATTCTTCCATAAAACATCACTAATCATGGGCTTGCTGTTCCTGAGATTTTTAAAGTTTGCTGTAGGGTGAGTTAACCATGCATCGGACACATACCTCAGAGTTGTGGAAAACTTTTTCAGATAGCCAGTCATTTGGACTGGCAAGAAGACAAAATAAGCCGGTCCGAAGTGATTGTTGCCGGTCCGAAATAGTAGGTCGCAAAATAAAAAAAAAAAAGCATAACATATATTTTCTTCATTACACATCTATTTACTTAATAATAATATATAACATTCAGTCTCCATCCCCAAGTCCTCTTCCGTTTTCGGTTTGTTTGTTTGTTTGTTTTTTTTTTTTATTATTATTTATCATGTTTATAACAATACTAGATTTCGCCGCTTTGGGGCTGGTGACAATGCTAATTCAGCATAGTAAACGAAATTTTTTTTTAAACAATTATGCACTTGGGAATTATATTAACCTAGAAAAATTGAAGAAATTCTGTGCATCGATAATAAAGATATCAACACGATCAATGAAAAACGAAATCCGGGACAGTCGGAAGTATTAGATTTACCGCTTTCCCCAACTGTGTTTGAATTCTTTCTGTCGAAATTTTTCATATTTAGATTGTCTTTATTATGTTTTCTACCTAATTCTGTCCCAGTTGTAAATTTAATAGGTCACGAGACCATGCTGGTTTCGCTTTCATCTATAGCCTCGATCTCGTAAAAAGAAAAGTACCGGTATTACGCAATCGCATATAAGTAATTATGCTAGGAAGTGCGCCGATGATAAATGAAAAAAAAAATAACCAAAAAAGGTGCCGGTCATTTGGACCGACATCGATAGCATTTTTACCGGTCATACGCATTTTTTGCCGGTTTTGCCGGCATGACCGACAGTTTTCCACAACTCTGATACCTTGCTTCGGACAACTTTAAGCAATAAACTTTCATTGAACCTGAGTCTCCCCGTGTTTTTACTTGTTTCTGTCTTAAAGGTGAAGAATTAAACTTTTTAATGATGCCGATTTTTATTTTCATGTTGTGATAAAAATACCACAACAATGGCCTTGAAATAACGTCATATTTTGCACCATCAAAGGGGAGTAACCAGAATTTTACGATTTTGCAATTTTTAGAGTTGTCGTTCTTTTAAATAGACGTCAACGGAACGGGTCGGACCTTGGTAAAAATTGTCAATGATTGATAATATTACAGATTTTTTTCAAAAATTTTACTTCAATGTTTGTATAGTATATTTTAGAGTTTTTTTAACTAGTATGTTTATTTCACCTTACATCGGACACAAATTAACCATGCATCGGACACTTTCCGATGCATGGTAATCACTTTCATTTTCATGTAAAACCCAAATGACAGCTGTTGTTTACGGAAATAGAAAATAGAAACTCTAAATTTTCAATGAAAATACAAATTATCGATATATGACTACTAGAAGTGGACTCAATTTATTTCTTTAAACTAGATGATTATAACCCACGAGACAAAGGCGCGAGTAGCCATATTACTAGCATTATAAAGCCTTTCTAAGGCGATGTGATGCAACTAAAATCTCTTCATATTTGTGGATCGAAATAGTCATTAAAATTTAATTAGAAGGTTAATTTTTAAATAAAAGATAAAAATGTTTCGATATCACTAATTTTAAAGCACCGAGATCAAGGTATAATATTTTTCTGGTTTAAATATCGTATGTCCGATGCATGGTGAATATTGTACGATCCATGGTGAATTCTGACTTATTTCGAAAAAATCGGTTTCTAATAATATTTTCTCAATAAATAGGGCACGATTGTGTCAAAAATTTATATTTTAACCACATACTACATGTTAAGTTCCATTTTGATAATGTTCGGTCGGTAGCGATATCGCTAGAACTTGTTGGAGTGCAAGGGTGTCCGATGCATGGTGAATTCACCCTATATATTCCTATGTAAAAGTTTGATCACCCATTGTGGCCCAACCCAAGCGCTTTGGGTATTGATTTGAACAAACCTGAATGCACACTAGGTAATCTAGCTTTCACATAATAATAAACTCTTCCATTAGTTATTGAGAAGATTTTGAAAGATTTTTTCTGTATATTCCTATGTAAAACTTTGATCACCTACTGTAGCCCCACCCTTCTCCTGGGGTTCATGATCTGAATAAAATTGAAGCTATACTTTATGATGAAGCTTTCACATAAACTTCAACTTTTCTGGCACAGTGGTTCTTGGGAAGAAGATTTTTAAAAGATCTCACTAAATTTTAACTAATTCTTAATTATCTTCCCTTGAAAGAGGGCATGGCGCCCTTCATTTGAACAAACTTGAATTCCCTTTATCCAGATGCTCTGTGGCAAGTTTGGTTGAAATTGGCCCAGTAGTTCTTGAGAAGAAGCTAAAAATGTGAAAAGTTTATAGACGGACGGTCAGACGGACGACAGAGAAAATGTGACCAGAAAAGCTCACTTGAGCTTTCGGCTCAGGTGAGCTAAAAATGTCAACCCAAACCCAATTATATCGGCACATGTATAAGAATAACGCAAAAATATTTTCAAAATAATCATTACCACTGAACAATTTATAAAAAAAAAAAAATAACATTCAATGTCCTAGTATACACTAAACAAAATTGCTAACTACTCACTTGTTATTCTTTTCTTAATTGTGAATTGAACATTTGCATAATCAGTACTAGTATATCTAATATGCCATCTTTTCAAATACAGTGGGGTTGACAAATCTCTTGGTGTCATAAGACCCTTAAATGACATTTTTGCCAGAAAACCAATTTCCCAACGTGCACTGTGCACAGTTTTTGCCCAGATTTGAAATTGGTGATTACCTACAGTGTATGATGGTTCATGAGATTGCAACAAAAGCAGTCTTCCGGTTAAGAAAATCAAATAATATACAGCAATTGACTATCATTTCGCCTAGTAGTCATCCAGTGCCTTGGTATCCATACCCAGTCCACCCAACTTCCGGTTGCCCCAATTTTGTGGAACAATCTTTAAATTGTCCTGTGGTGCTTACTTAATGCCGTGCCTATCTATGATAAACATTTTTATGTTTGTTAATCTATTTGCAACAAACTATCACTAGAGGTATGAATACTCTTTCAATTGTTCTAATCTTTTTTTTTTTTTTTTTTTTTTTTTTACAAATTTCTCCAAAGGAACCCACTGCAGACACCATACTGTCTGCTTTAACACGCTCTTCTAGGGTCAAACGCCGCATACGGTGTGTTTTTTTCTGAGTTTTTAATTGGTACAAACTTAAAGAACACAAACACAAAGAAAAAAAAATACAAAATTATTCCTCCAAAAAAGCATGCGCACTATTTTCATTTTTTCTTTGAAATGGTTACGCTTCAGTTAACACTGTAGTTATTTATCAGTTAAGACATTTAAATGCCTAATTATTTTACTTAAGTAACATAATTTTATATCAAATACATTAAAAGCAATTTTGTAAAGTAAAATATTAATTTTCTTTGGTGGTGCGTTAGCAATTTTGTCTAGTTTATATAACGAGAATAAACGAATAGGCTGATTTATCAGATATATAAAGAATTATGGTATCTTGGCATATCATAGTGGTGTACATCAATCCTGGAGACAAGTTGACCAAAACCTTTTCTCCCTACAGTATTGCGAGTAATGCTAAATAAATACTTGTTTACTTATCTGCCATACACTTTGTCTATCCTTCTGTTTGTCTTTCTCTGTGTCTGTCTCTCTCTCTTTGTATGTGTTTGTGTTAATCTCTCTCTCTCTCTTCATGACCTTAGTAAATATTCGTCAACATAATATATCGGCGACAAAATATGCAAACGTTCACAATACATATTGTCGCTGACGACAAAATGTGCCGATGCATGACTGTACATTTTGTCGTCCATTACGCAGGAAGAAAAAAGGGGCTCGTCTCAGTACATATTGTCGCCGGCGAAAATATGTACCGATGGACGACAATATGTGCAGTGAGGGTAGGATCATATTGTCGCTGACGCCAATGTTTACAGAACGACATTATGTACCGCTATCAAAAAATCGAACTCATGTCTCTGCATGGATGTAAACAAATCAACTGATCTTTTTTTTCTAGAGCTTGTGTTCTCTCTGGTGATGTAGCTAGTTTTTTTTTTAAGATTTTGCCGCCTGCATTTGATTCAGAAAGAAAACCTTATTACAAATTAGAAAACAAGTTAATAATAAGGAGGAAAATAGAACGGTAAAACACGGTGGCATTATGATACATGTAACGTTGAAAAAAAAAAACCTGAAAAAAAAAATATTTCAAAAGGCCGAGAGGAAAAAGCCAAGAAATACTACAAACTGTTTCAGAAATTAGAGCAAAACATAGAACTCAACAAAATCAACATAAAATACTGTACACGGATGATAATGAAAAACTGGATAACTGAATGGTATCTTTACCCCCAAAAAGTTAAGAGCGTCTGTTTTATCGTTGTAGAACATTTCAAGAATCATTATGAGTAAAAAAATAGAAAAAAAAAAGAAATGTAATGACAAATATATCAAATTCCTTGTTATATGTAAGTTTACGTGTAATTACTAGTATATTTATTATAAGTAACTGAGAAGGGGGGGGGGGGGTGATGCAACATAAAATGATTCACATTGTCCAAAGTATTTTTACCATCATATGATTTTATGCATGCTTTTTGAAAAGTGAACTTAGATCAGTCTCATAAATATTTTTTTAAATAAAACGCAATTTGGGAACGGGACAAAACCACAGAACCCTAGAAATTCAATCAAATAGATCGTTGATAAGTTATGGTTTTAATGTATCTAAATATGTTAAGTTAGGGATAATAAAGGCTCTCCGGATGAGACAAACGCGTAATTGGTCATTTTGTAAAGTGTAAATTACTGTATATATGTCACGTTAGTGCCAAGCCTGTCCAAAGTTTCTTAAGTCATGCGTTAAGAATATTATTAAAATCACCTTTGTGTTTGTATTTGCATACTCCCCTTTTCCTCTGCATTGTCGATCAAAATATTTTTATATAAAGAACAGATCTATAGTTTTGATGATGGTAGCAATGCAGAATTGAACTTCTCACATCTAGACTGAGAAATAAGTTTTATGAAAGTGATATTCATAAAGTAGTCTGAATAAATAGTCTTTCTGTGTGTACGCTTAGAGCTTATTGTGCCAATAAAACCTAACAGTGAGTTTTCTAATACAATTAATCAGTTAATAGGACGGATTTTGGTAAGGTTAATCGAGTGACATTTTTGTATTTGATTTATTCCAATTTTTTTCTTTTGATAGAAAACGTTATCTATTTTTCTATCATTGCAGATCATCAAGTTTTCGCAACATCATATTTATAAAAGAAAACAAATTTTCACGAATTTTGATTATTGTTGTAGATAATTTAGAATACAAACCTGGTTCTCTTCTTCTTTGAGTTCTGCTTTCTTTTGTACCAATTCCTTTATGGCCTAAAACAAGATTATACATTTTAAAGCTTTTTTCTTTGATTTTTTTGTTTATTTTTATCAGCAAATATGAGAGAAGTATTCCTGACCCGATGATTCTTAGAATTTTTTTAAATTGATGTGAACCATAACTTTCTGTAACCTTGATACTAAAGACAAACAAATGTTAAATCACAGTTCCAATTTCAGGATATGCATGGACAAAAATTTAATTTTGGTTTGTGAAAACTGGTACCATTTAGATAACTAAACCCAACAAATTAAAATTTAAAAACAATATAAAGAAGATATCTTGATAAAACTCACATTCTCCGGATTTTGTTATTCTATAACCTTAAATAAGTATGGGAAATTTTCCTAAAAAGTTACGTTTCATAGAAAGTAACCATAATTATATCTACATGTATTATAACGGATGTTTTCATCATATTTCCATAGCAAACACATGTCTTTTTCTCGGTATTTTACTACACATGTGTATTTCTTTAGAAACCAGTAAGTAATCTTTATGAGAAAACAACAACAGCTTAAAAAATCATGAATCCTTTGTTGGTTTAGCTGCTAAATAGCAAAAAAAAAAAAAAAAAAAAAAAAAAAAAAAAAAAAAAAAAGTGGTTACTTATCCACAAAAACATTTCCATGATATAATAATTATTTAGCCATCAATGAGTCTTAAAACACATTTTCTATCAGTATAGCGTGATGAATTGCTGAGATCAGTGATTAAATGTATGCGCATATTAATGAAATTATTGCACACAATAAATGATTTGATGCGCGCAACAGTATCGATGCGAACATCAATTCATTTGCATACCAAAAAAAAAAAAAAAAAAAAAAAAAAACGGAGGGGGGGGGGATAACTGCTCTCAACACGAGACTCAAGGCTGAGTATGATAGAACACTGTAAAGGCCCATAGAAGTATAAAGCAGAATTAACTCAGAGATGAAGTTATATTGCCCGGGAATTTCAGAAATCTGGTAAAATACCCTTGCTTATTGTAACATGCGAGACCCGAGCGATCTCCATGGGATCGGATTTTAGCCCCACCCTTCAGGTCAAAGGGCGGCAGGGGCTGTGAATTTTACAGCTATCGTTTCCTTTCACCCATAGATGCTATATGCCAGAACTGGTTGAAAATGGTTCAGTGATTATAGAGAAAAAGCTGAAAATGTTCAAAAGTTTACGACCGATGGACGACGAACGACGACGGATGAAAACAAATAGCAATAGGTCACCTGAGTGACTCAGGTGACCTTAAAATAAGTTTATTCTTAGAACTCTGTGTAAATTTCTTGATTACCTCGATATAAATAAAGATAACCCTTGCTTGCAACAACTCTTCTGCAGCAATAATTCAATTACAGCAAAATTCAATTAAAGATATAATTCTTTAACTTATGGACATGTTGAATTGAAGATATCAATGAAATATAGATGCTCTCTCTCTCTCTCTCTCTCTCTCTCTCTCTCTCTCTCGTAAAATTTATAATTTTAGTAACATTAATTCATATGAAAAGACCTATAATTCAAACAAAACAAAATCAAATTATAGTTACCACATCAACTCTGTCCTTAAAATCTTTATAAATTGCACTCTGAAAGAGAAATGTTTTTTTTTTTTTATAATAAATGTATATGTATCATTTCTATTTCAAATATATTTTTGAATACTTCATGTGCCATTGAATACTCGATGTGTAGATATGGAAATGAGTGAAATCAGTGCTTATACTAATTCTATAGAAAGCTTAAGCCCCTTATAATTGTATCACATGAGTAATAACATTTTTATTTTATTCATTTTAATGCTGATGTTTAAACACTCATTGAAATTGTCTAAAAAAAATATGGGTCTGAAATTTTTAATGTTAATTATTAGGTAAGACTTTCCTTATTAAATTTACATAATTTGCAGATATCGATCTCCCCCCCCCCCCCCCTCCTCTGAAATAAAAAAGGTGGGGATAAGACAAGTTGATCAAACTCATAAATAAAAAAAAAGTGAATAATGAACAGGGAAAAACATAGCCTCCTGGAATCCCAGAAGGTTGGATCAGAAAACCAATTTTTCTACCATTTTACCAAGACATTACTTCTGCTCAGTAATTGTGAAAAGATACATAAACTAAACCAATAGGCTAATAGATATACCATCTGGTCAGTATCAAGTATATATTTAAAAAATCATTATTTAGTCTCTGAGAAAAAAAATGACGAAGCATCCTGCTTTATGGGTTCATTTCCATATTTTAGTTTGCATACTATGGATGTTTTTGACCTTGATACCGGTCAATATTTGCTAAGCATGAAATAATTTTTCATATATATGACCTGATAGTAATTCTAACACAAATTCCAATTACTTCTGTTATACATTTGAAGAAAATGTGATATAAAACCTCTATTTTCTAAAATGCCTTCATGTCATTAACAAATAATGAATGAAGCAAAAAGGATTATGCTATTTATTCAGTAAATAAAAATTAAGAAAAAAAAAAAAAATCAAAAACCTTGTTCACAATTTATATTAGGACAAAATTTAGAATAAAAGTTGCAATGAAGACGCAATCCATTGACTTAAATTTTAAATATTAGATTTTATTTCTGTATAGCCTTTCTTATCTTAGTTTTTCTTTTTGATTTCAATCAGTATATGTTAAATACACCATCATGATTCTTATTTACATGATCATAGTTCACAGGAAGTAATGGGAGAGAACAACTAATTATGCATATTACGGAGGAACAAGACTTTGAGCTGTAAAAAGTGTAGTCACTCAGCGTTTTCTTTCCTATTTTGAATCATACTAATCTAGTATTTACTTTATATCTTAATACATCAGATTTCCTGAATTATTTAAGAGTTTGGCTGCACAAATATTGCTGCATACAGTGTCAAATTGAAGTTTTTTATTCTTCATGTTTACGGGTCCATTTGTGGGTTAACTTTATAAATATAATAATACGAAAATATATAGGGTCCTTGAAAAAATGCATATTAGGCTCGGCTAACGCCTGGCCGAATATGCATTTTTCAAGGACCCATGTATTCCCGTATTACCTCTCTAAATGTCTACATATCTAATATTTTGTGTTTCCTGCTTTACAAAATAACGAGGCATGGGTTGTGATCTGTTTTTATGAAATAAAACTGATCATGTAATCATGCACATGATCTCACTGCTCTAACTGATCACATATGACGTCACTGACTTGTTAGATATGCAGCAAAAAGAAACAGATTTTGATTTAATTGGGCGCACGTATTTTAAAGAATGCCTCAGTGAATTGATATTATTTTAAAAAAATTAATCGCTCGAGGTTATCAATATAAGTCTGAAAGAGAAAAAAAAATGTAAGTCTTATCTGATGTATTTCAGATGCATCCTTAAGTTCTTACATTTCCAGGAGCTCGATACATTGCTGTCACGTCTCTTTGGACCTACAAGAAAAGATTATATTCCTTGTTTTTTTTTTAAATTCATTATTTTTGGATATGTTTTGTCTCTTAGTATGAAACGATCACTGTCTGACAAGATCTCGATTAAATTGTTAAGAAATCTAAGTAAAACAATTTCAAAGTATGAAGTTTTTGATATTAAATACAAACTATTATTACATTTTTAACAGTGAAATACTGTAATTTAATTACTGAATAAAAGTGATATTTTGACACTTTGTGAAAGGATATCACAATGGTATTCTCACAGTGTGAGAATATCAGAAGTGCGGCAAAACTTACGATTTGAATTCCCTTCACGAAGAGTGTTTTTTAAAACCCCTAGCCTTTTATAAGATAGAGTTAATGAGCCCTCCTGACAGAGACAAATAGTTATACTGACACAGACTTTCCAAATATGTCGTTAAAAATCCATTTTTATAACGTTTTTCAATCTCGCAATCGATTAGCTATGACGTCTCAACTGCTCAACTATGACGTCACAGCCTATGACACTGTGTAACGAAAAGACAGAGGCAAAGGGAAAATCTAAGAAAATGTAATAAACAGAAAATTCAATGTTTTGTAGATGAATATGAAATTTATTTCACGCATGAGACAGGATTTTTTGATTTTTTCACTCGCGCTTCGCACTCATCAAAATATAAAAAAAAGTCCTGTCCCACTCGTGAAATAAATTCCATATTCATCTATAAAACACTGAATATCCTCTATATGTAAAACGAGATCTCAAATCAATAATAAAATGCCCACCAGAATCCCATTTAAACAGCTCTAAAAATAAATTCGTAGTAATGGTCTTTACCCCGACACATGACATTGTGACAATGTAAGTCCTTATCAACCCTTCTTTCGCGTGGCTATTAATTTTATATATGTAAAGAGTATACTGCTAGATTATTTTTTCATGAAAAATATTTATTCAATGCATACACTAAAAAAATAAGCAAGAAAAAGTAATCAGTTGAATATATTCAAGATATCTCTATAAATATTTCTACATGTATGTTGAATACAATATATTTTTCATTTTATTATTCATTATAAAACATTTTACAGGAAGTCTCTTATCAAATAAACAAAATAGTCACTGTCTTTTTTGAAAATATCCGAATAAGGAAAGGAAAGTCACATATTTTGACCTAAAGAGCATAACTGTTGAAATATCTGCATTCTTTTTTCATGCGGCATATCAACAAAATAGCAAATTGCATAACAGTTCGGAACAGTTTTACTAAAATCTAAATGGCTTAATTAGGAAAAAATAACAAACAAAGCAAAACTATGTTTTTAAGCTAAAATTAAATTACATGTATATAGGTTAATAGAAATAAAAGAATTTGAAAATATAATTACACTTTTCTCCTGTTTTTCAAGTTCTCCAATAGATGACTTAAAATCAGAAATCTGAAATATATATATATATTTTTTAATATATCATATTGTTGTATTAAAAGGTAAATTCTGAATTATTTCATGTGCTGTTGATGTGAAGCAAATCTTTAAATTGAAATCATGTGTGCACTTTTTTGTATCTCATAGAAATATTTCATTCCCTTATATAAGTCATATCAGTAGCAATACTGATGTTAATTTTGCTGAAGATGTTGAGGATTATCATCAAACTCATCCAAAAAAAAAAATAAATAAATAAATAAATAAAAAAATAAACAAATAAAAATAAATAAATAACAACCCCCCCCCCCCCAAAAAAAAAGCCATAAGATTTTGCATTGAGAGCTTTTGTTCGGCCTTTTTTTAAAAATGTGATATATTTTTTAAAGTAGATATAAAAATGAATTTATTCTGACTTAATAACATGCAAATATTGATAAACCTGCCACTCTGTGAAACCTGATTGTAGAGCAATTTAATACTTCTTCCAACAGTATGGTGGCATATTTATGTCATCCACGTAACTTTTTGTCAACATAAGACATCGAGTCAAGTCAAGATAACTTGCTGGTTTTGTCGAGATACATAAACTTCTATCTCGTCTAGTCAAGATAATCTATCACATTTTGTTGTGATAGCTATCTCGACATAACGAGATAATTTATCATGTATCATGACTAAAAGTGTTGCGTTGACAAGCACTGCCTCTTCATAATTGATGTCACGATAACATACATATAACATTTATAAATAGATGACGTTCAACGGGTGCAGCGGTCTTTTTCGAATGAAATACGGGGATCTCTTCTATCAAATTGTTACTCTAATAAGTACATTTGTATTGCAAGCATAATTTTAAAGGAATTTAGTTGGAACCAATGTGTGCTCAAACCGTGTGTATGTTTTTATTAGAGATTGTTCTATCTGACGTATCCGTATACGTATCCGTATCCGTATACGTATCGAAGTATGAGAAGCATCTCGATCCCGATGATTTAACCGTTGGATAACATTTCCATCGTTTCTTGTTTGATTTTAACCTTATTCATTGGAAAATAAGATATATAGTAATATTTCTAATGAAACGTATCAAGTTGCTGTTCACACCTATCATTTTATGGAAGGATTTAAAAAAAAAATAAAATTAGTAAAAAAAAAAAAATACGTACATTTTTATTAAATTGTTAAAAAATAATTTTAAAAAAGGGTTCAAAATGGTAACTCTCTCTCTCTCTCTCACACAATATCAGGGTATATCATTGTTTCATTCTAGAAGTAACCTTTACCAGTGCAAGACATATTCCCCATAATGCATACAGTCAACGCTCTTTATCTCAAACTTGATTGGACCAATTAAAACTTCGATATATCCAAGGGTTTGAGTTAACAAAGTTTAACTGTACGAGGTGTCAGAGATCAAACATTCTAGATGAGTGTAAGTTTGTCTACATCAAGAACACATTTAAAATTGATTAACAAAGTGGAGAAGGGGGAAGCTGGGCTGAGGCAGGGAGAAACTAAAAAATGACAAGTCACCTTATCAAAACTTTGACAATAAAAAGGTGACCATACTGCATACTCTGTGTGTGTGTGTGTGTTGGGGGGGGGGGGTCACTGAAAATTTCCATCCTCATTTTCTTTTTTATCTTTATCAACATTCTGTATATCATTTGAATATATTAATGGACATATTTCTCCAGAAAAGCTTTGGAAAACTGGCAATTCTGGGGTGGTTTGAAGACTCTAAATTCCCTAAATTGTTAGGTGATAGCCGTATCCGAAATTCCAGAGAGCTTGAGAAAGGACTATGATTTCCGAAACACACGCAGTTTTTCTCGGGGATTAATTAACAATTGTCGATAAAAGGAGATAAACGGAGAAAAAAAATTTTTATGTCTTATACATTACTTTATATACATGTTGACTAAATTTTACTTAAATGATTTATTTAAATGTTTTGTATAAATTTTATCCTTTATTCTGTGTTTTTTTATTTCTCTGCTACGTTGAAGCAGCCTCTTCTATTCAATTCTATGAACTGCGTGTTGAATTGACTCACACTTGTCCCAATATGGGCCAAAATGCATAAATAAATAAAAATAAGAATAAATAAAAATCAGTTGGATGGACAAGGTAGCATAGAAGAAATAGATAAATCTATTGTTTTGGCATTTTTTTAGTCTAATGTTCTTTTATTTCTTATAAAAAGAGAGTTAAGATAATGAATACCCTATTTTGAAACAGTTCTATATCAAACCATGAATTATAATACACATGTACGACAACAAGAGAACTAAAGAGAAAAATCAAATTTAACAATTGAATTTTCATTTCATTACCTATTTTTGTCGCCATGAAGTCTTTTCAAGTTATTAATCCTGAAAGGACAAAATATAAAACAAAATCAAGCGCTAGCCGTATGAGAATAGGCCCGAAAGTAGCAATTTCAACTGGGGAGGGGAAGAGGTGACATACAGGTATTTGTCAAATAGTTCATTGAAAAAAAAAAGAATGAAGAAAGCCAACAGACGCTATGAAAGTTTGTGTGTGTTTCCGGGGGGGGGGGGGGGGACTGGCATTTTTAAGCATATACTGGTAAGGGTCTGGAAGCAAATTCTCTTTAGAAAACTGCTACACGGTTTTATTGATTGTGTGGATATCAACGTCTTTTGCATTTAGTGTGTGAGTGAGGGGGTTAACTTTCATGTCATCTAATGTAAATTACAGAATCAATCAATAAAATGTCCTGATGTTAAGAGGGAGAGAGGGGGATCCCGATAAATGTTTATAAACAAAATTGCAATTAAAGTTTTAAACAATATAATGAAAACAAATACAAATTTATTGAATTTCATTATCTATTTTTTTTTTAATTTTCCAGCAAAATAACAAACTTTTACAGCAGCTTAATACATTTTTTTATTAGAAAAAATACCATATGCTATTCTTAAATGAATGGGGCTGCTTTAAAACCAAACAAATAACGATGGAAATTAATTAATTATAGTAAATAGTTTAGACATCGGGATCGAGATGCCTCTCTCACCTCGATACGTATACGGATACGGATACTTATACGGATACGTCAGATAGAACAATCTCTATTAATATAAAATACAAGTGAGATTTTTACTTAATTATATGTAGTATTGGCAATCATTTATTAAGTAGATTTGCTATTCAATACAAAAGCTTGCAAAACAGTACCCGTTTTCTTTATAAGAATTAAGAATTTTCTTTCATTATAGAAATATATGGAATACAATTATGCATTGTTTTTTTTGCTGTAGACTAGCTTTATCCTTCAATTATTAAGCACATAAAATGAAAACATATAGACAATTAACTCTATAACATCTTACATCCTCTTAATTTTGTAATAGATCAGCGAAAAATCTAAGAATTATTCAAGTTTGAGAAAAAAATATGCCCTCTTTGGTAACGGGTTAAATTCCGGAAATGAAGATAAATTTTGGGATATTTAGGCCGATCAATATTTTTCACGTAAACATTATTGATTATATGTTGTTTTGCGTCCCATTCGAGAATTTTTCACTCATATAGAGACGTCACCATATACCGGTGAA